GGTAAAAGATCACTGTTGAATTGTCCGGCAAACGAATACAAATTGATAATGGAAAGGAAAAGAGTCAAAAGAGTCAAAACTTGAAAAGACACAATCGATCAGTTGATCCCAACTTGATTGACAATCAGTCCACTGCAACCAAAAAGATGCCTTCTGTTTGATGTGGCAACAACTTTGCACTTGGTGCACAGCATACCCACTCGTGCAAAGTACATTAAAGTTGTATATGAATATAAAACTGATCAGTCACTGATCAAGGAGTTTCTGTCTGATTTGCTAGACCAGCGAAAGAATATAAAATCGATTTGATCAATGATTTAGAGTATTCTTTTTCTTTACAAACTTTGTATATGAAAAGATGCTTTCATGTTGCATGCGAACTGCGTATGCCTTCTGTTTGTTTGTTTGCTTTTTTTTTTTTTTTTTTTTTTTTTCAGTTCTGTTCGTCTGGTTTATCTGGATGTGAACTGGGGTCTGTATTTCAACAGCTCATGGGTGTACCAACTGAGCTGGGCCCATTGGTGGATATGTCGTCTGTTTTCTTTTTCCCTTTTTTGTCTCCCACGAGTCATCTTCATCGTTTAGTATGTGAGCGAACAGCACATCATTTAGTGTGTGTGAACAGCATTAAGAAGAGAGACTCAATGGACCGACCGCCTCATGCCATTCTCTGGGTACTCCTTCCCCCTCTCCGCCCCACCCCCCACACACACACCCTTTTAATTTGGACCATTTTTTCTCGACTTATGACTGCCATTCTTGAGCAGGGGCCATGCTAATCTTCTCTGCGTTGTTCCAAAAAAAATTAGCAGATGTCCTGAAGGACTTCTCTGTGTACTCTGGTTATCACCTGCATACTTTTTGTCTTCTTCTTTATTATTAGGGGAGGCAGGCACAAGCACGGGTGTCACATCGGTGCATCTGTGCGTGGATTTTATCCTCTTTTTTTTTTTGGGGGGGGGGGGGGGGGGGGGATGAATTTCTGATTTTTGATTGTTGACATGGCAGCCACAGAGGGCCAAATTTGGACAAAACGATCACACAACTTGTTGAATTGCACCTGTGGACTAACAAAAAATGCAGCACAAAAATGCAACTGCCAGTCTGCCAGACCACTATGGCGGAATGCAGGGGTAATTGCTGCAATTGGGGTTGAGAGTTGGAAATTGCTGCAGCTGCTGTTCCTATGTGGCATGGTGGTGGTGTTGTTGTTGTTGTTGTTGTTTTTTTTTTTTTTTTTTTTTGGCAGATGGCGTTGACAGGCTTTCTGTCGTTGTGAGAGAGCGCAGAGAAGTAATGAGTCGTGACTGCTGCCAATGATTGGTAGATGGGTTGCATAAAGGGAAGTGAGCAAGCTTGGGAAAACCTAGACCTTGCTGAGTTGCCAATGATTGGTACATTGTTTGTGCTGTTGTTGATTTCTTCCAGGCTTATCTGGCGCATTTATCATCGAGCGGTCAGGTCCATCCTTCTAGTTTGACTTGAAAGGTGCAGAGGAAGTAGCGCCTGTCTTGCAGTTGAAGGGGGCGGCGGCGGTTTGCACCCGTGGTCGAGTCCATCTCTGCGAAACCTTGTCCACATGACTCACCGGATACTGCTGCCCGACATCTGCTGTTACATCACTCATGATCTGCTCCACACGTTGACCCATCTTGTATCTTCAGTCGCTGGCTACCTTCTTCCCCCGATTACAACTTATGGTCATTATAGCCGTATTTGGGCTATCTTTCAGTCTAAATACAGATATAATGACCATACGTTGTATTGGGGGGAAGAAGGTAGGCCGAGCGGGTGTCCTTTTTTGTGGTTTCCTGCTGATAACCTACTTGTCCCAATGTATGGCATTCGCTTAGACATATTCGCGAAGGACTTCGTACTTTGTACCTTCCGAGGTGTTCCAGCACAGCGCGAGGGTGAACTGTCTCTTGCTGTGGCCCTCCTCAACTGGCTGAATTGTATTGCGCCCCTCAGTCGACCCATCTTGGCAAGCGGCTTCAAATTGAAACACCCAGCGGCTCCAAGCGGCTTCAAATTGAAACATCCAGCGGCTCCAAATAGACCCATCGTCCCGTGCCAAATCGAACCATCTTCTGGCTTCAAGCGACTTCAAATTGAAACGTCTAGCGGCTCCAAAGTGAACCATCTTTCGTTGCCAAATGGAAAACATTTAATGGCTCAAACTTCAAAGTTGAACCACATTGACACTCCGAATAAAACCTCCTTGCAGCTCCAACGTAACCCATCTTGCGGCTCAAAGCGGTGTTAGACTGAAACATACATCGGGCGGCTCCAAATTGAACCATCTTGCGGCTTCGAATGGACCCATCTTGCAGCTCCAAATTGATCTATCTTGCAACGCCAAGCAGTGTCAAATTGAAACATCTAGCAGCATGGTACGGAAGCTAGCGTCTTGTTTGAGGCTCTACATTGAAACGTCTAGCGGCTCCGGATTGAACAATCTTCAGGGCTCCAAATTGAAACATCTCGCTGCTCCAAGTTGAACCGCCTTGCGGCTCCTAATCGGACCACCAGGCAGCTCCAAAAAAGTTTCTACTATTCGAAAAAAAATATAATATTATCTTCATCTTTGGAATCTCAATCTAATGAATAAAGAAAAAGTTCAAGCTTCTAATCCAAATCTATTTTTAATTCATCATATTTTTGAATAAATATACACAATATCCTATTAACATAAAGTAAATTTTATGTTAATAGGATATTTGACCAGCAGTGTGTTCTTGTGTGGTGTAGACGCATGGTAGCGTGCTAGAGAGTGGTTGCCCTCTACAAGCATGATCAACAAAACAAAAAGTTAAAGGAAAAGGGATGGTTAAAACAAGAAAGCAATGACAAAGGGGAAAAAAAGCTATAATCTTTGTTTCCAAGTTTCTTATAGTTTCCAGTATGGTTACGCCGGACCTGGACACCGGACCAGTCCAGACGTCCAGCCAGACCTGTGTCTGGACTGCTCCAGACCGTCCGGATTGAAAAGAAAAAGAAAAAAAAAATAAGTTTTTTTATTTAAAAAAAAATGATTCTTTTTCCCCCTTGTACAAAGACAATTCTGTTTGATTGGCGGATACCGTCTTCGCGTTACCTCTCACATGTGCAGTGGTGGGGGTGCAGCATCTGGTGTGTGCATGGTGTGATAACGTCGTGGATGGTTTGTCTTAAAGCAGTAACCTTGAGTGCTTTCATATTGCACAATCTTCTCGCCCCCCCCGGCCCCCCCCCCCCCGCCCCCCCCCCGCAGCCCACCCCCCCCCCCCCCCCCCCTCTTGGCCCACCCCCCTCCACCCACTGCTTGTGTTGTGTGCATCAACATTTAGGGCAAGTTTTTATATGTCCATCATGCTTAGAAATGGGAGAAGAAGTCAGTAGCTAGCAGTTGTTATCGCCATGGCTCGGGGATATTGGCCATGGCGGCATGCTTGCCTGTGGACTTGGCATGGAGCCATCATGTGCTTGAGGCATGGTTGTAAGTAGAGCTCTATCTGGCCTTGCTGAGAAGACAGCTAAAATTCCCATGGCTTCTGTTCGTGGAAAGGTGGTGGTAGAGCACACGATAGCTACTGTCTTCACCCGAAAAGAATGCCCTGTCATTATAGTTCTGCAGCAGGCCTCTATCTGCCCTGGCCTACAGCCAGGGCCTATCAGGCTATTTCGCCTGTTCGGCCTGTGGGACCAGGCCGTGTGCTCATTCAGTCCAGTCCAGTTCTGCCTGGTACCATTGTCGGTACCAGTCCAGTCCAGTCTAGTCCAGTCAGTCCGCTGGGGGTAGACCCCAGCTGCAGTCTGTATTTCGTCATTCTTCACATCTTGGAGTACGTGCGTGTTGAGTCTGCGTCGGAGCTGCGCTGTCCCTTCCATCTCCATCTCTACCTCCTCCTTCGTCAACCCTTCTTCTCCATCCTGACCTCACAGGCCGTGTACTGTTTCTGTCCAGTCCAGTCCTGCCCGGTACCACTGTCGGTACCAGGCCAGTCCAGTCCAGTCCAGTCAGTCCACTGGGGGTATACCCCAGCTGCAGTCTGTTTCAGCCTCATTCTTCATTTTGCACACTTCGGAGTACAAATTGCAACGAGATACAGCATGTCATCAAGACGCGTGCTCGCAAACGTGCAGTCCAGATACGGCAATAGCCACCGGGCATTCTATTTAGGTGAAGATGGTAGTGTCTTTCTTTTTATATATAAACAAGTGAAGATAACTGGTATCTTCTAAAAACGTTTATTCAGAATAAAGCTATGTCACCTGGGCGGACGTTCGGGGTCCCCCTGACCGTCTGGGTTGTCTGACTGGGCGACCGGGCCAAACGTCTGCCCGGACCCTTCTGTCTGACCCTACAGAAGCTGACCTAAATATATATATATATATTTTTTTAATTTTCTATGTGGGTTGTAGGTCAGGTTGGAGAGTGGAAAGTTGGAGCAGTGGTGAGGGTGATGTTTGGTGGTAATGCCCCTGAGGAGGATCACGTGGCGGCCGTTGAAGCTGGTCGGGGTGCCCAGACCCAGCGGCTTATGGCAATCATGGTGCATGTTGTATCTCGTTGTAATTTGTACTTGAATTCTCTTGTGAACAGAGTGTGGGATCTCATCTGTTTGCATGTTGATCATTGTTGACTTCTTATCCATCATTCAAATCTGGGGTATAAGCCATAAATNAGAATGCCAAAGATGGCGGCGTTAAGAACATGCTCTCCAAGTCGATATTTATGGTAAAAAAAAAAGTGGGGGGGGGGCAACCTTTCCGATATGATCCAGGCACTCTGGCCAGGTTCGTACCCAGGTCGCCATTTCATTATACAGGCTGGAAAACGGGACCCACATCCCTCACATCACAAACTTCTGCCAAGAAGACCGACTGTGATAAAAAACCTGCAAAACCCCAACACAGCAGTACTCGAAACCAACAACCAAACCAAGAATGCCATCATTCCCCGCTTTCCCCCCTTTCAAAACCGCCATGCCACCGTGCGGCAGGGGTCCGTATCCACAGCCCCCCAAATGCAGACGCAGACCCCGCAAAACCCACCCACCTCCTCGCGATTCAGGGAGGATCGCACCTCTACGCACACTCTCCATTGCTAAAAGGCACTAACTCCCACCATGGTGATGCTTTTGCAAACCAGCGGATGTACCCTACCACCCGCCCAGCAGGGGCCAAAGACCCCGCAAAAATCTCCCTCCTCCCCGTGATTTAGGGTACTCCCCTACCCCAATGTGCTACGCCCTCTAACGGAACCTCACCGCCATCCATGATGAAACCCCGGCAGGGCTGTGCTCACCAATTTGCCTCTATAGATCAGATGACAGCAAGACCCGAAAGGAAATGCAGAAAGACGAACGACACAGCAACAATTACCACCAAACCAGCAACGACAAGTACCACCAAACCAGCAGAAACACCCCACCTCCTGCACGGTAGGGGTCAAGGACCCCGCAAACCCTCCCGCCTTCTCGTGATATGGGGTAAAATGCTCCACCAGTCTGCCCCCACTCGCTAAGAAATTTCGCCGCCTACCATGGTGGGGTCTCTGCAGAAAAAAGCTCACTCATTCGTCTCCCCACTAAAACTACAACCTGCAGCAATCTACCGAACTTCGAACAACGAACGGGAACCCAGACCAACTCAAAGCAACGTCAAACCAATTTCTGCACGGACAGCAAAACCGTCAACAGATAAATGCCTTGACACGGTGAAAAACAAGAAACAAAACCCTGGTAAAACGTTAAAAAACAAGCAAAAAAACGCTAACAGGGCTGCCTGAATAGAGCAAAAACCACCACCAAGCGAGTGGTCAAAAAAGAAATAAGAAAATATTTTAGACAAGCCGGTCAACAACCAACCCAAGTAGAAACATATTGCGCACAATGGGAGAACCGCAAGAAACACAGAATGCTTCTTTGTAGAGTGAGTTATACCTCAAATTTTCACGCAATTTGAATTTATAAAAAAGAAAAGAAAATTCACTAAAGATTGTGGCGTCAAAAAAAAAAACATCGCCAGTGCAGTGGTTTTCTATTTTCGCCTTTTTTTCCTTTTCTTTCGCAAGTTTTGCAGCCTCTGTTGCAGCTGCTGCAGCAGCAAATGCATATCCTCCTGCAGTTGGTGCCTTATCTGCCGCAGCAGCAGCATATGCATCTCCTGCTGCTGCAGGTGCCTTATCTGCTGCTGGAGCAGGTGGTACAGCATCTGTTGCATCTGCAGGACCTGCAGCTGCTGAATCTGCAGCAGCAGCAAGTGCTGCATCTGCTGCAGCAGATGCTACACATGCAGCACATGCTGGAACTGCTGCAGCTGCTGCATCTGCTGCACCAGATGCTGCAGATGTCGCAGATGCAGCAGCCACTGCACGTGTAGCATTTGTTGCAGCAGATGGTGCAGATGCGGCACATGCAGCAGCTGCTGCACCTATTGCAGCAATTGCTGCATTTGCCGCAGCAGGGGTGTTGCATGTGTCGCAGATTCTGCACCTGCTGCAGCAGCGAAACGTCCATCACAACCCCCCTTGACCCCCCTGGCCCCAACCTATTTCCCCATCCTTTTTTTTTCTCGTCCAAATGACCTAAAATATTTTTAATGGGGTGTCCTCAGGGTGAGCAACCCCCCCCATTCTTTTTTCTGGCTCCAATCGGCAGAAATTGAGTTGTCTGAGATCCTGGACAGCTGGGGTACCTGATGTTCGACGTTGATGTCCAGGCAGGACGTCCGCTGAGGGATGCTGGTGGTTCAAACCAGCGCTGCCCGAGGATGCCTTAAAATTGTGTAATCAGGTGCCCCCGGTTGGCCGCGAGGTTGGCCGGCGTGCCCGGCACGCCTGCAGCAGGCTATCAGTGACTTTTTGCAAAATGTTGAAAACCGTGACTTTGGTCATTTTTGTGCGCATAATAAGTAACTTCAAAGACATTAACCCCTACAAAGACAAATTACAGCATATCTGTGGAGGGGAAACCATGATCATAAGAATGTATTAAGCAGAGTGGCATGGCAGGCGGTGATCCAACCCAAAACAAAAGGAGGGCTGGGAATAATGGATCCATCTGTCCAAGCCATGGCCCTTTCAGTTCAATGGATCAAAAAACTTCTTTTCAACCCAGAGACCCCCTGGTTAGCACTAGCAGAAGAGCAAATCGCAAGACTAGCCCCTGAAGCGCCTAATGGGACTGATCCACTGATGTGGTTAGAGAATAGACATTGGTCCATCCCCAGAGGTAGTGTACAGTCCACGGACCAGCCAGCGAAGTCCCATAGACAAGCCACAAGAATGGACATAAAAAATGATCCTTTTTGGACAGTTGTCCTCAGCACTTGACAAGCTGCCTCTACCTGATAAAACTGCCCCGAACAGATGGGAGGAAGTCTGTCAGCAACCATTGTTCAACAACAGATGGATCACTGATGCACAGGGGAGGATGTTTCACTGCACAGATTCACCTTGGAAAGGATGGGTAAGAAATGGGGTTCTAAGGGTAGGGGATATATGGTGCTTAGACTCGAAGGACTGGCACCAGCTCTCCAGCCTCCTACCAAGGTTAAAATGCAGAGGAACAGGAAGGGCATTAGAGACAATTATTGAAGCAATTCCGATAGACTGGCTAAGGATAGACTGGCTAAGGATTCTCAGAAAAGGGCCCCATCTCAAGGAAAGCGATTGGGTGGGTATTCAGGGGAACTCCCAGCAAGTAGGAAGTGTTATAATGCAAAATGGAGGAGGTTCAGTTTTAATTTTTATTCTCTCAATCAATCAGAACTATCACATAAAATAAAATCCAACAAATAAAACCAGATGGGTTGAAGTAGATCAAGTGTTCAGGATCAAAGTTGTGAAACAAAAGGACCATTGGTTGGCGTTCAAACCTCAATGCCCAATTAACAAACTGGCATTGGACCCAATCTATTGGACATGGACAGTTCCAATGAGGAGCAACAGAAACTGCACGTGCTTCCTACACTCACTAATAGTCAAGTCTACGTACAAAATGTTAAGACCCAGGATAAATCTGAGAGACCGGGTGGAAAACAGATGGATGAAACACCTGAATGTGAGCAAGGAAGATATTAGGAGTATCAAGTGGTTTAAGACTATCAATATTAGGCCAACAAAGATTGCTTCTCTACAATGGCAGATTGACCACCGCTGTCTGCCCACAAACGACTGGCTAAATGGACAGAACATCACTGGAAAAAAGAGGCCTTGCTCATCCTTGGTGCAAAATGTGTAGCTCAGCGTTCCCAAGCAGGTGCATTCTAGAAACCATAAAGCACATATTTTTACAATGTTCAGGTGTTGTTTGACTGTGGCGCTGGTGGGATAGGATTTGGTCTACCCTTATCACTCAGCTGTCATGGCCATGGGATTGGACAGCGCTGTAATGTGAGACTTGGTCCCCGGCCTTGCTAGATGATTTCTCCCACAATCTTTTTAAAACAGGAAGAAGGGTCATACTTTTGGCTCTCTGGCATCGTCGCTGCACTTTTGAAATGGAAGGAGCAAGGATTGACGGCCCTGAATTAACAGAGGCAATCAAACTACAAATGCAGACAGACATTACAATCCAGTGGAACAAGGTTAAAGAAAAAATTCAATTATTATCTTCCAAAAAAGGAATCCTACATCACATCAAGCAATTTAGTGGCGTTTGGCTAGGGGGGTCCCAAGGAGGGAAGATTGGTCAAATCCGAGAGGGTGGGGGAAGGGGAGGTATCAAGGAAGGGCAAAAAAAGGAAGTACCCAGAGACTTCCGTCTGGTGTTTCATGACAGGACCACTGTAGACTCATCTATCCCGTTGCGCCCCTCATCAGAATTCCCAGCCCCGTTTCCCCCCTCTGCTCTAGCTCTGGTCCCCTTGAGTTGGTATGGCTATGATTGATAGGGAGATATCTGACTGGGTTGGTTTCCTTCTAAGTGTTTTTTAGGGTGTCTTCTCTGGTCTGTTGCAGGTGGTTGCAACAAGAAATCTACTATGTGCTTTTGCAGGTGGTTTTTGTAAAGCAATAGTATGGTCAACTTAATTCTCATTCATCTCCCCCCGTCTTTCTCCCAGTTTTGATTATCCAAATTAGTACCAGGGCTGATCAGATAAATTTGGCGCCACTCAGATGAGGGTGAAGAGGTACAAGGGACACTGGACCCGTTTCCTAGCAATCTCGGTCACAATTGTTCAGAATTATATGTCAAGGGACGCTGGACCCGTTTTCCAGCAGGTGTAGCTCCCCACCAATAGATGGAACCCACAGTTTAAAAAAAAATCGAAAAAAAAAAACAAAGGGACGCTGATGTGCCGTTGCAACCGTTACGACTATCACACTTACAATGTTTGTGTTGGTTGCTGATACCCACGGACTACAATTAATCATGCCCGTCGAGGGTTTATCGGTGGTGGACCACATGCTCCTCCAGCTTAGCCCTGACTTGCTTTGAGGAATGTATCTCTATCACTGATAGGACTCCCATACTTATGGTGTCCACTTTATGACCACAGGCGGTCAACCGCAACCGGTGTCCACCTAATGGTTGCAGTCGATATCCACCGACAACCTTGCCGAACAGTTTGATACCCATCGAAAACCCTAACTTACCTTCAAAATTGTTGCCATATTTCTGCAAGCGATCTGACGTTCGTCACGACATCCAGCCAATCCTGACTCTCAGGCTCCTGCCGTGGTCGTCTCATCTTCATGTCTACGCCTGCAGTTGCATCGATACACATTTGTGTCATAGAGAGCGAGCGGCCGCAATGGATGTTATCTGATAATTGTCGGTGTTGTTATGTCGGTACAGCCGATCCCAACTCCCTTAATTGGACTAGCCCTGCCTTCAGTCCTTGGGCACTTCTAGCAAGTTGTGCCGTACATTCTTGAAACCTATGTTAGGACGACCTTCATGGTCCCGGACTTCCTGAGACCCATCTCCTTACCGATAGCGATGCTTAATCTCCCCTACCATATCCTTATTAAAACTTGTCTACGACTGCGTGGACAATGTTCATTCTGCCTCAGCTCATAACTCGCCCGAGATGCATAGTTTTCAGCTCGTGTTGAACTTGAGCAGCTAACTCAAGTTCTAGCATGGCTTGTTTTTTTTTGAATTCCTCATTCGTTTTAGCTTGCAACAAAGTTATTGTGACTTATGCTTGTGCAACCAAGATTTCAATATGGACCTCTTCGACCTCTTTCTGGTATCCCCAAACTACGGACATTCCAAGACACAATTATAAGGTCCTCTATTATCCGCTCCTGCTGTTGGCATTTGTTGGATCCAGTCCATCGCTGTAATAACTGTTAATCCATCCGCAGAAAATGAACTCTTGTTTTGTTCCCTGTGGATTGCTGCATTTAATGAAGAGGAGGTTTTATCGTTTGAGGTCATTCTTGTGCAATGATACTCCGCACGTAGATGGACTTCAGTTTCTTATTTGCAGGTAATTTCTTGTCGGATCAAGCCAAAAAACATGTTGAAAATCTCCTGATCAACTTTAATATCCGGCAAAGGTTTAGTCCTGTTATGGAGGAATGTTTAGATCGGTAATAATTTCAATCCATTCTCTGTGAGCTCCTGAAGGTTCTCCGAGAGGATGAACATGTTTAACGACACGACATTATGTTTTATTTTCTCATCCTACAGATCTACATAGAAACGATGTGGTGAGATCTCAAGCACTAACCTCAAGGAGATCAAGTCACCAAATCTCTGTTTTGCTACCAAAATAATACTACAATGTAACATTGTTTTGCTAATCCTTGACGAGGGAAAAAAGACCACACCTTGTGGGGATAGCCATTCCAGAACCTGATTCGTCTCGTTGATGAAAACACACACGAAAGGAAGTAGTCGCTTCTCTAAAGGCTATGATTGTTGTATCCCTATTGTCACAGTTATGCAATCCCAAGTCATCTTCGCTCCTTGCCTTAGTACGTCATCGTCTGTCTGTCTATACCTTGCGATCTCCCTGAGCTCGCAACCGATGTCTAGGAGCCTTCAACAACAACCCTTTGAAAATCATATCCTCTTTTTGACGAACCCTCCCCTTGTTGTTACCCTATATCAATTATAGCTTGTTTTAACGGAGATTGACCCCGCAAATCTCGTTATGATGTGGAAAAAGGTCCCGCTTGGTGGGTTTGTAGTCCCATAGAGTTGCCTTGGGATATAACGAGCTCATTTCCTTTTGGGACCTATTCCAAACGCGAGTCTGGATCTTGCATGTTCTCCCCTTCCCTGCCGAAACCCAAATTTTTCTTCTTTTTTTTATATAATAATAAAACATGTCCTATTTGTGTTAAACTTCGGACTGTCCGGTGGCCTGGCCTTCGTCCGGCAGGGGTCCCGAGCGGCCCGGCCGGTTGGGTCCCCCGGTTTGGGGTCGGGCGAGGCCAGCGCAATTTCGCGCAAGGGGGGGGGAAGGCCTTTTTTGGCTACTGGTCGCCTCCCCAACATCCGGCGACGCCAGGTAATTTTTTTATTCTGAATCTATGACGATGTACAAGTAGTTTGAGGGGGGGGAGCGAGGTTTTCGGCTGAGATTAGCTGCCAAGAAATCGTTTCCCCCTCTCGCGGGCTATGATGCCGCGTTTGAATTTGAACGCGGTACTCCCTGTTGCGAAACCCGTCGTCGTTGCCGTCGCGAAGCCGCCCATCGTCGCTAGCCCGCCCGTCGTCGCTGCGGTCGTGAACCCCGCCCGTCTTCGTTGAGTTGCCCATCGTTGTCTCCATCGAGCTGCCTTGTCGAGAAACCCTCCTCGTCGTCGTTGCCCGTGAAGCTGCTCTTACCATCTTCGTGAAACCTCCTCCACCTCTTTCCTTTTTCTTCTTCTTCTTCCTCTCCTCCTCCTTCTCCTCCTTTCCTATTCTTCTTCTTCTCTCCTCCTCCTCCTTTCCTTCTCTCCTCCTCCTCCTCCTCCTCCTCCTCTTCCTCCTCCTTTTGTCTTCTTCTCTCCTCCTCCGCCTCCTCCTCCTTTCTTCTCCCCCTCCTCCACCTCCTTTCTTCTCCCCCCCCTCCTCCTCCTCCTTTTTCCTCCTCCCCCTCCTCCTCCTCCTCCTCCTCCTCCTCCTTTCTTCTTCTCCTCCTCCTCCTCCTTCTCCTCCTCCTCCTCCTCCTCCATTCTTCCCCTTCTCCTCCTCCCCTCGTCCCGGTTTCATTGGATTTGTTTATTCGGCGAAGTGCCACGTGGCCACATCAGTGCGCTAAAAAGCGCCATGTGTCGGGATAGGCCAGCTGCATTGAAATTCCCGCCGCTAGTTAACCTACTGACGGGTGGGATTCCCCTCCCTCTCTCTCTCTCTCTCTTTCTCTCTCTCTCTCTCTCTCTCTCTCTCTCTCTCTCTCTCTCTCTCTCTCTCTCTCTCT